CACACACACACACACACACACACACACACACACACACACACACACACTGTTAATTTCAGGGTTCAGTTTTCAGGTTGTGTCATGACATACCCGAGTTTAGCAAATGGTTGTGACAAAATGAAATTTTCCATGATTCCTATTTTCCCCAAGATGATATTTATACTATCCTTTGTCTCAGACCTTTTTCGAGGTTAATTCTACATACTTATAGTATGCACGCAGTTTTCTGGCTATATTTTTGTTATAGAACACGTTTGGCCACAATTTCACTTGTGACCGACGAAATCAAGTGTTTGCCTATAAAATACCTATTCACTTTAGTCTTGAATAGTCTTCGGGAAACACAGATGACGACAGCGTCCTTTGCGCTCGACACCCACAGACGGGACAGTAAGGCATTTTTAGTTGACGAATAATATACCTTATCGTTATGACTTTATTGCTGAATTTCAATGGTAATGGCCATAGCTATGAAATAAAGCTACGGCAAGCTGAAGGTTACTGAGCCGTGAGCCTTCGGAATGCCTTCGGAATGTCGGACAGAGAACGGGAATCGACACCTGAATAGCGGTTAAGTGCGAGTACTTAAGGATACCGCTGCGTATTTTTTTGACAGTACGCGCTCACATGTAGGGATGCCGGAAGATCCCTAGCCATACCTTTCCGCCAGTAGGCGCCGAGCCTTAGGCAGGAGGAGCAAAGTGCTTCATGCGAAAACAAAGATGGCCATGATCCAAGTATAATAATGATTACCAGTGAATAGGGAGAGGAAGATTGTGTGTTCCCTTCTCACAATCATAATACACTGCCAGTTAATTGGGAGTTCACTATAATAATTTAGTTAGCACATGGAAATATAATAAGTAGCTGTAAATAAATAACGTTCACGTCACTTTGTTACCTGATATAATTAAGACTTGACATAATTATTATGACTTATAATTATATTATTATTATAGTTACGTCTTAAAGTGTACATACCTACTTAGAATTTCATTAGGTAAAGTTCTTCCTAAAGAAAAAATATCATCTATTTGGACCCTTGTCAGATTGCGGAATGTTACAGTAACGATTTCGTCTATAGATGACAAAAACAGTAGCGACGTTATTTCAGGGTCCAGAACATATCAACTTATAAATATAGCAGGCTATTAATAATAGAAACGAAATAAAAATTCTGTATAGTCCATAAATCCCCATCGGTGTGGAATGTTAGATATTTTTCGACAAATCCCCAAAATGTAGTACTTGCTACGTAGTGGAAATTTGCAGATAAAATATCTCCACAAAGATATTATAATCGCTTAGGTGCTTGATTCGTAATATATCGCACTTGAATTGATTTTCAGCGATGTTTCTGCTAAGGACAAATGACTACAGAAAAAGTTTTTTTTAAATTGCCTTTTATTTTTTGACAGTACCATTTTCTCAAAATCAGGGAATGTGAATAAAAATACCTTAAAACTTCATAGGTAGTCTACTAGCTTTGCTAACTTGTCTCAAATTTCCTTCTTCCATAATCAAATATTTTGTTGATTAATTTCTCCTATGAACGGGTGGAACGATAACTAAAGATCAGCCCGCTACAAAGTTATCAAAGTGTCCTGTAGTCTGTTTATCATAATATAATAAAATATTGCAGTGGCATAACGCTGAAAACGTCTGCTTAGAATTTATTACTGGGGTTTTTGGAATATACCGAAAAATCGAAGCGGCCATTGAAGATTGTTTGCCAAACTATTCAAAGTAGAGTAAATTTCCAATTGCCAAAAACTAATTGCTTTCATATTAATTATTATTACCTATACTAGTCTATATACTCCGACTATTTTACATCTATTTACTTAATTAAATGTACTAAAGAACGAAATCGTGGACCGCTACATGGCGCTGGTTAATGTTGTGCTTATTTATTTAAAAAAGAAGTGCGTATACGCTATCCTCCATCTTTCCTGCTTGAAAGCGACGATGAGGTCGAGGATGTAGCAAGCACACTTAAATAATGTCTATTCACTCTCGCCTTGAAAAGGCCCAAGTTACAGCGTTCAGTTCAAATTCACGAGTTCCCAGCGGAAAAGGTTTCTACAAAACGGAACCTTGGTGTAATAAAGCTACATCTGCAAAATGGCAATTTTTCAGGAAAGACCATTGACTTACAATTATATGGGCGTCAGGTCCGCGCTAAAAAGTGTCCGCACTTGTAAGGCGCTAAAATCGTCTACAGAGCGCCAAACTCCGCTTTAGTCTTCATTTGTTCGACTGACAGCGCGATACTGCGATGACATTACAATTTAAATTTCGAATAGGTTGACTTGGGACATTTTTTTCGTGGTTTTTATTAGTATTAGACCCGTCGTCCATTTATTTGTAAGTCAATGGGAAAGACGTTTTAACTATCTACGAACGAAATTAGTCGAAACTTTTTCGTTGTTAGATAGATAGATAGATAGATAGAATGTTGTTCGAAACAAGTCGTGGGCCTGGTGGTAAGCGACACGCCTGTTCATAACAGTTGCAGTGCCGCTGAAACATCTGGGGGGTACTACGCCCGTCCTTTAGAAATAGTACCTACCCTTGAAGTTCAGCTAAGGAAAGAGATGAATGTGGATTTAAAGGATCATCTTTCAGTTTGCCTATAACGCAATAATGATGGTTATTCCTACCAGTGTGGAAGCATAGCGCACCTTTTCTTCTGTTGAATACTGTAGAGGACTGTATTAATGGGTTAAAGGGCGGGTGCTAACAACGAGTGAGCAAGGCCAAAGCAAATGTTCTCACAGCTTATTAATTTATTAGAAAACACGAAGCCAAAACAGCAAAGAAAAGTCAAGAATAGACGCCAAAAACAATCACATTTAAATTTAGAATTTAAATATAAAACTAAAACTTAAAGAGACTATAAAATATATACAAAGGAGATTTGTAGTAACTGCTGCGTTTCGCTACAACTAACTAGTGTAATCTAAAAATGTAACAAAAAACCGACCTCAAAAGTCTGTGGCATAACATACATATATTAGCCAAGTTTAATTGAATTCGGTTAACAGAAAGTGGGTGAAATCGAATAAAGCAGATTCATCTCCTATTTGCCACCCTTAGAGGTGGAATATTTTTTTCGAATTTGAATGGGACCACTATTAAGGCACCCCCTTTCCAATAAAAA